AAAACCGGAGAAACCATTTATTTTTGGTTTGAAGTAGAGAAAAAAATTATGAAAGGAAAAGCTCTAGGAAAATAATGTGACAGATGGAGGTAAATAAAAGAGGTTGGAGGTGAAGTAATACTTTTATAGCTTTAAATTTAAAAATCCCATTTACTTGGCCTTTTTTTTAAGGGATTTTTTTACTTTGCATTCTTTGTTCTTGCAACGGCTTTTCTTTAAAATTTCCTAGTTTTTTTTTTTTCCGGGGGGAAAGAAATTTTTTCTGTTCATTTTATTAAAAGTATGATGTTATAATGTAAAATGCTCAATAAATAATATGATCTTTCTATCAGTGTTATGAAGTTATGTAGGCAACAATATTCTCCCAAAAGATTTATGTATATTAGGGCCTATCACCTATAAAAAAAGTTTGTATAATTTAAAATATGAATTTTTTTGATTTTACCAAAAGACAAAACATCATGACCTATCGGTTCTGGAACAGTTACATTATGTTGTCATCGTGCCCAAATCTTTCGGAGAAAAATTTTGTTTTAGCATCATAATAATGGGTTTTAAATTAACCCTACCATTAGCTTTTTTGTGGGGATTTAGAATTTCTCTTGTACTGAAATGTTTTTTTTTGAGAAACCTTGTTTTTTAAAAATCTAAAAGTTTTAAATGAAACACTGGTGTTTTTAAAATTTAAACAATATTGTTTACATTTTACCGCCCCTGATATACAGCATATGTGGTAAACAGTATAGTTCCAATAAATTATAAAAATTAGTATAAGAAGGACAAATATTAGTTGTATATGTAATATGCAACTCTTACATACAGTTTTAAAAAAAATACAAAATCATTCACTTACAAACTTCAACCCATTGTTGTTAAAATTTTGGTGAGAAAACAAGTACATTAACTATATCTTGCATTTTGTTTGGCAGTACAAAAAATGTTAGATATTCATTAATTATAATATTTCTGGACTTTCTCAAAATTTACCTTTTTTTTTGGAAGAAAGGGTTTGGGGAGTTTTTGGACCAATTCTATTTTGTTTAATTTTTCCCCATTTGTTTGCAAAGGACTCCTGTTTTTGTGCTAAATATTTTTCAGGACCTGTGATGTTGCTTGAACTGTCTTCATGCTTTAAAGGGAATTTGAAAAAATAAAAAATTCTGTCAAAATAAAACCTTTTTTTAATTATAAAAAAAAAATTTTAAAAGGGGGGTTTAAATTTTTAAAAAAAAGTAAGATCTTAAAAACTTTTTATGTTCTTATGTTTCCCTTTTTTTAACTTATCAAAAATGCCCAAAAATTTGGGGGGGCTTTTTAAAAATTTCCAGTTTTTTTTTTGAAAGGCCCAAACCTTTGGGCAAAAAAAATATCCCAAAATTTCCTTATTCAAGGGCCAAAAAAAATATTAAAACTTGGGGGAGTAATTTAAAAAACCAGTTTTTTTTAAAACCCCCCAAAATTTTAAAAAAAAAAATTTTAAAAAATCACTTAAATTGGGCCAAAAACAAATTTGGTTAAAACCTTTAAAAGGGGTGTTTTTGGTTTCACAAAAATTTTTTTTGAAAAGGAAAATTCATTTAACAAAATTATTTTTAATTCTTTTAAATTAATTTTTAAACCAAAATGAGGAATGTTTTTGCAAAAAAAGGGGAACAAAAGGGGAAAAATTTGCTTGTAATTTCTTTCCCTTTTTAGAAAAAATTTCTGAGTAAAATTTGTTAAAAATTTAAAAAATTTTTTAAGTGATTTCTTTCATGAATTTTGAACTTCCTTTTTTTAAAAGGGTTTAAAATTTTTGTTTCGGGAATTTTTTTCCAAAAGTGATTTAAAAGTTGATTTGTTAAAACTTAAAATTTTTCCCCCCTTCCCCTTAATGATTTTAAAGATTTTTTTTTTTCATGGCCTTTTCCTTCAAGTAAATTTGAAGGTTTACTTTAAAACCCTTTGGGGTTGGCTTTCAGTTTCAAAGAGATTGCTATGTTTCTCCATTACAAAATATGGCCATAAAGAACAAAACTTTTTTTGCACGTCACCTTGACCTTTTACAAATGATTTAGGTTGAAAATTATGATATACCATCTCTTAAAAACCCTTGATCCCTCTAAGTCAAAATGCAGTCCCGCTATGCATATTCAATAGGAATTTACCTTCAATACTTCAAAGTGGTTATGTATACATAAGGTTATATAATTAACACCTTTACCTGGACATTTAAAAGGCCCAGGCAGAAGACACCTAAATCAAGGAATGGGATTTTTTTTTTCAGGTGACACTTATACTGCAAGATGATACTTGATTTATAATTAATAATATTTTGCTTATCTGCTATCAAAACAAGACATCTGTCAGCCAATGCTTACTAGTAATACCCCCGCTCTGATGTGAATAAACACTATCATTTTAATATACACAAGTTCAATTAAGGGCACAGAAAAATATGAAGTTGACATCAGATTTATATCAAAATGAATCCCACCATATGGCATGCCTCAACAAAGAGTGTACTAAAATTTCAAACATCTGCTATGAATAGTTAAAAGAAAAAACTGCAAAGAAGATTTGTTAAATATGAAACGGACAGACATACAGACAAACAGGAAGTTGACATCAGATTTGAACAAAAATATATCCAACCATATGGCATGCCTCAGAGATGATTGTGTTAAAATTTCAAGCATCTGCGATGAGTACTTGCTGGGGAAACTGTGACAAAAATTTGTTATGTATGAAACGGACAGATGCACTGACAAACAGGAAGTTGACATTGGATTTGAACAAAAATGTATCCCATGCCTCAGAGAAGATTGTGTTAAAATTTCAAGCATCTGCGATGAGTAGTTGCTGAGAAAACTGCGACCAAAATTTGCTATGTATGAAATGAACAGATGCACTGACAAACTTGTTATGGACAGCTAGACAGACGGACAGACACACAAGGGTAAAACAGTATACCCCCCTCTCCTTCGGAGCGGGTGTATAATAACTAACATTGATGATCTTCTGATAATTAAAAGACAAACAAAAGGTAAAAATTGATTACAAGACGAGACACTAATTTAATTTTTACTTTGAGTCAGTATTAAAGTTAGAGGAAAAATGAAAACTCAGAAATTATGCATTACAACAGCTTAAATGTCAATATGACGACTATTGCTGGACAAATACTTACAGATCATGTTTGGTATCAATATGTACAAATTGTCAATGCTATGTACGATGCTGTAATTAATGTTTTGATTTAAATGAATAAAGAATCCCAAGGGCCTTAACGGCCACCTGAGTATAAACAACAATCCATATAGGATCCATAGAGTATAAATTGAAAGCCTCAAAAACAAACCTGGGTTACAGATTTTTATCCCATCAAATGAAGTGTTACATTGACCAAAATTAAATTAAATTAAAATGCTCATCATGTTTTTGTTGTTTTTGAGATTTTCAAATGATCTTTCCTATAAATTCCTTAACTAAAACTTTAATCACCTGTTGCGTCCCAGCCCCTTTTCTACCCCAGGGGATCAAGATTTGAACAGTTTTGACATTAAACATTATCCAGAGCTGTTTCTATATAAATAAGACATGTGGAGATCTTTGAACATTCACTGTGGCCCCACTCTATCACTTAAGGCATGATTTGAATAACATGAATATATACTATCTAAGGATGCGTACATGTCTAATCAATCATGGTTTTTCTGTTTTTTCGAGATAAGAATTTTTTTTTCAAGATTTTTCCTACATAATCCAATGTAAGACTTTCATTGTCCATTGTGGCCTCACCTTACCCCCTGAGGATCATAATTTAAACAAACTTTTAAAAATCAACACCACCTGAAGATGTTTCCACATAAGAATCATCCATCTTGCCCAGTGGTTCTGGAGAAGAAGATTTTTCCAATGTATTCCTATGTAAAATTTTAATCATTCATTGTGTCCCCGCCCTACCCCAGGGGGGCCATGATTTAAGCAAATGCTAATCTACACTACCTGATGATGTTCCCATATGTTTCAACTTTCTTGACCCAGCGGTTCTTGAGAAGAGGATTCTTAAAAGATACCATTAATTTTCATTAATTCTTAATTATCTCCCATTGGAAAAAGGTTTGGCCCTTCATTTGTTTAGAAAAAGGATTGGCCCTTCATTTGTACAAACTTGAATCTTCATTACCAAAGGATACTGTGTGACAAGTTGGTTGAAACTATAGCCCCTTGGTTCTTGAGAAGTAGTCAAAAATGTGAAAAGTTTATGCACAACACACATCTGCACGATGATGGACAAAAACAGATAGCAATAGGTCGTATCAGTGACTCACGTGACCTAAAAATGGCTTGACTCACTCTTTGTCAATAAGATGCTGGTCTAAAAGTTCCATAATCTGCAAAAGGTTATGCATGGCTCCAGTCTCTTCCACATCAGAAGTAGGTAGTGCTAGTATCATAAGATCAATAGGACCTATTACACCCAGACAGTGGGTCAACTCCCTCAAAGTCTCTGTATCCTTCAGTAATTTACTGTTTTTTACCAGTTTCATCAGAAGACCAGATAATATGTTCCTTGATTTGCCTGCAATTCATTGTTTGTTACTTACAATACGTTATTTGACCAGTTTGACCAGTTCTGAATAAGAAACCGATTCGGTCGTGTTATAAATATACAAGGAATTATATCAAAATCTAAGTTTTAGTCAAGCTAGTTCAATGACGTGTGGAATTAAATATTGTTTCATAAAAGTTCAGCCTTCCCCCAAAAAATTATTTTGCAAGTTAACATAGGTACTCATTTTACATTGTACCAGTTACGTATAAGCCGATGAGTTCCGAATACCCTAGCAGTTCCCATTCAATTCGATCCTAAATTAAACAAGAGGCCCAAGGGCCTTGAATCACTTTCGATAAATTGTACAATCTATCACTTCTATTTGAAGCCTCTAACTCTAAGTATCCTAAGACCCAAGTTTCACCAAATGTCAAAGTTTGATGATTCTTAGCCACTTGGGACAGAACATATTTTAATAAAGTTACTAAAAGACAATAAGTAGGTCACAGTGACCTACTTTAAGATGGAAGTTTTATGAGGACTCAAGATGCATTAATCGACAAAAATTAAAGATTCTAAGCCAATAAGTATTTGAGATATTTATAAATAGGTCATAATGACCTACTTTTTTTACATTCTCAGAAAACCCAAGATGCATCAACTGATAAAGTTTGCTGATTCTAAGCCAATAAGTACCCAAGATACTTAAATATAGCCATAAAATTTCAAAAGTAGGTCACCTAAATTTTAGTCGACGATTTTTGAAAACCCAAGATACATTAACTGACAAAGTTTGATGATACTAAGCCAATTAGTACCTGAGATATTCAACAGTAGGTTGCCATGACCTACTTTTTGGTCGACATTCTCTGAAAACCAAAGATGCCCCAACTGACAAAGTTTGACAATTCTAAGCCAAAAAGTACCTGAGATACTTAAATATAGCCATAAAAAATGTCAAGAGTAGGTCAAGGTGATGTAAATTTTTGGTTTGCGTACCCGAAAACCTAAGATGCATCAACTGGCAAAGTTTGATGATTCCAAGCCAAAAAGTACCAGAGATACTTAAATATAGCCATAAAATGTCAAAAGTAGGTCACATTGACCTACTTTTTGTCTACATTCTTTGAAAACCCAAAATGCATCAACCGAAAGAGTTTGATTATTCTAGACCAATAAGTACTCAAGATACTTAAATATAGCCATAAAATGTCAAAAGTAGGTCAGGACGACCTACTTTTTAGTAGATGATTTTCGAAAACTCATGATACATCAGCTAACAAAGTTTGATGATTTCTAAGCCCATAAGTACCTGAGATAATCAAAAGTAGGTTGCCATGACCTACTTTTTGGTTGACGTTCTCCGAAAACCCAAGATGCATCAACTGACAAAGTTTGATGATTCTAGATCTATAAGTACCAGAGATACTTAAATAAAGCCATAAAATGTCAAAAATAGGTAACTATGACCTACTTTTTGGTTATTATTCTTTGAAAACTGAAGATGCACAAACTCACAAAGTTTGTTGATTCTAAGCCAATAAATACCCTAAGATACTTAAATATAGCCATAAAATGTTGAAAGTACGTCATCGTGACCTACATTTTTGTCGACATTTTTCGAAGTCCAAAGATGCATCTACTGACAAAGATTGATGATCTTAGGTCTGAAGGTAATCAAAATATGCCTTTAAAACAATTTGAAAACAAATGCCTGCAAAATTCAAAAAGTAGGTCACTGTGACTTACTTTTTCATAAATATGTTTTAAGGCCCCAAGATGCACCAACTTACTAAATTTGATGATTCTAAACCTCTCAATGTCTGAAATAATGGGATTAAATGTTTTAGAAATGATAAGCCATAAAATTCAAAAAGTAGGTCACAGTGACGATCACGTGAGATCTCATCCCATAACAAACTCGGACTATGAGTAAGTCGGATTATTACCGAGTCGGTCTACACAAACTCTGACTATAACATAGTCGGCCTATAGCCAAAAATTTAAGATGTATAGCACAAGTTTAACGAATTAATTGATTAATATTTATATTAAAAAATAATATAGGTGCTATTAATTAAGTATTGAGTTTTTTTTTGTAAACTTGAAGTGATTTTTCAAGTTCTTCACTAGCGTGGACAGAGTATGCTTAAGAATTCCATAGTTTTGAGTTCGCGGGTAAAATTTATAAAATTATAGAATAAGGTAACGCAATAGAACTTCTGCAGATATAATTATTTATTTGTATTGTTATGTTATATTCTTTTTTGTAAACTTGTATTGTTTTTTATGCAGAGGAGATTACGAGAATATTTTTGTTTAATTGGAACATTTTTTTTGTACAGATTACTTAATACACAAAAAATAAATCATTATGGTTTGGATAAATGAAATAATCGTGTTTTCAAAAAAAAAAGTACACTAGTCAGTTAAGATGTGATGATTACCTACATAAACTTAATTCAGCATTTACAGTGCCTTAATTATTAATTTTACAAGCTGTGATATTTTTTCTTTCATTCCTTAGTAAAAATATAATTTATAATTTCCATGACATAGTGGACAAATTCTGACCTGACAAACTTCCTTTTCTCACTTTTGTCATTTACCTATTGAAAAAAAGATGCAAGCTCGATATATTAAAAAGAATGAATGAAAATGAGAGGAAAAGCAACAAGAACAAATGGTTAACAGACAATTCTCAAGAAAGGTTTTTTTCCAAGCATATACATGTACATATTGCTTTGAAAGATTTTTTTTTTTTCGGTTTATGCATGGAATTATAATTAGGATTTTTTTTCAGTTGTATCTAAAAAAAAATCTTATTCCAGATATTTATGTTTAATTGTGTTGATGTGGATTTAAGATTTCTTTCCTAAAAATTATCATATTCTTTATGTTGACTGAGAATACACAAATAGATGAAGAGAAACATTTACAGATTGTAATAAACGGAAACCATTTATATTCATTAAAAAAAAATGGAAAATTCTAGTTTTATGGGTTATATACACATTCATTTGAGTTAATGTGATTAACAATTAATAAAACATCAATTAAAATAATTTTTTAGGTGTTTTTGAGTCTGATAGTGTCAATTAAAGGGACACTGCCCCATTGTTTGTATATCCTCTCTACCTCCCCTAGATATGGCTTCCGTATGTCACCTTTGTGTAATCCAAGTAAACCGACCATGGTATGCACATAAATCGATAAGCAAAAAACGAAATATTTCATATTTTTTCATTTATCGCATTATCTGTAAATAATATTAAAAAAGCATTAATACATGTATAAGGTTTTAAGCAATACATAATATCGCGAGTACCTCACAGTTATCTAACTTACTACCGCTCTTTTGCGGGGGAGTCGAGAAGGCTCAAATCTCGCGAGATTACTGGGACATTGTTTACAGTAGTGACAAGCGAATGATTTGTACAATTTTATTCCGAAAGTACAATGTATTGCCAAGAATTGAACTCCAAATAGTAGATTGTCAAATAAGGAAAGATTAGATTATTTTTATCATCTTTAAAATGTGATGATTTTCAATGAAAATTAAATGAGAAGAGCCTGCTTAGTGAAAAACATTGTTAAAAATGTAACATTTTACGAAAAGCTCCTCCCAAATATTAATTAGGCTGGTTCAGCAATTGATTAGCAAGGTATTCCACCAGGATTTTTAAGTTATCTGTCCTTATAAATTCTACAATGATCGATCTTGCATTGTATACAATAGCACATTTGTCCCCAGCCAACAGACATTTCCTAACTCCTTTGTGGAAGAGTTCTGCTAAGTTAAGTAATCGATATCAAGTATTAAACCAAGGCTAAATAAACATTTCATAATTCATAATAAAATTACTCAGTATAAATTAGAAAATAAAAAATGAATAAAAATACATATTTGTTCTATTCATAATACTTTAAAATACTAAATAATACTTTTCATAATACTTTAAAACCAACTTAATCATTTTAAAAAATAAAATAAACATAATTCTTTTCATTTACTTTGAAAGTATTATAACTAAGTACTATTATAAATGCATAGGCCGAGTCTGCTATAGGCCGACTCCGTAATAGTCCGACTTTGTAATAGTCCGACATCTCTAGTACCCACGGTGACCTACTTTTAAGTTGATGTTGTTCAAGGACCCAAGATGCATCAACTTACAAAGTTTGATGATCATAGGCCTTAAAGTGTCCAAAATATGCCTTCAAATCAATTTGAAAACAAATGCTCGCAAAATTTTAAAAGTAGGTCACCGTGACCTACTTTTGAGTTAACATGATGTGAAGTCCTAAGATGCATCAACTTACAAGATTTGATGGTCCAAGTCCTTATAGTAAATAAAATATAAACATTTTTATTAAGTGTAAATTTAGGTCAACTTTGAAGTGACCTTGAGACTATACCTTTTGCCCCAGGGTAATTCCCTGTGCAAATTTTAATCTTCGACATATCCTGATCCTTGTATGCAACTTTGGTGAAAATCTGCCTGATGGTTCTGGAGAAGATTTTTTAGCAACCAGTACTTTTGGTTTTGTTTTCCTGATTATCTCCCCTTGTTTAAGGGTACCAACCCTCATTTTAGTATAAATGGTAGCCCTTGGGCCAAAGATACCCTGTGACAAATTTGAAACTGATTGGCCAAGGGGTTCTTGAGTTATAGCCCATATTCTAAAAAGTTAACACACACCGCATGAATGACCATAGCATTAACTCTTTGAGCCTTTGGCTCAGAAGAGCTAAAAATATATGTCTCACACATTATCCACTGGCTTGCCTAAGAAAAGTTAAAATAATTGCTTACCAATAAGCCATTTGTATTTCCAAATGATAAAGAGAAACAAGAGGTACTGTGAGCACTGAGCTCTATAAATGATATCCCATGTCTCTTATATGATTATAATGGCAAAGTCCATGTCTTGCTCTGGGAGACACTAAATAAGTGTCAGATCAAAAAGTAAAATAAGAGGTGCACAATGGCAATATGTAATAAAGAACCAGTAAAAGTATCATTAAATTTTATTCAGTGGTATAGAAGGAATATATGAGATTGGTATACCCTTCAATATTAGAAAGAATGGCAGTATCGTGTTTTGCTAGGGGAGTCTAATTTATGTGTCAGATCAAAAATTAAATAGAAGGTGCACTTTGGCACTATTAAACAAGATTTGGTGAAAGCCCCATTAAATTCTGTGAAGCCTCGTTAAATTTGACTTAGTGCTGTGGTAGAAGAAGAGTTGTGGATAAAAAATTGGTACCCTAAAGCGTAACAGACAGATGGACGTACAGCTAGAAGGATGGACGTACAGACTGATGGATGGACAACCACACCATCACTATATAACCCTCCCCCTGCTTTTTAAGTGGGGGTATAATAAGCCACTTTTACAATGAAGAAATAAACGAAGAATGGATATATAATAGTGTTTATAATGGGTATTCAGAACTAGTAAAATGACAACATGAAAATATTCCGATATCTTCCAGTGTTCTAAATAATTATTTTAGACAAGTTTCTAGTATTTGTTAGAGGACATATCAAACTTACTTTTGATACCTGAAATGTTGTTTTATATGAAAAATTGATGTCTCTACAGAGGTTTTTCTGCAGACTCCACGTCGCGCTGATTCTGATTTGTTGCATTGTAAAAGTATGTAAACTGTTTCAAGTACGATAGCGAAACTGAACTAGTGGCAAAAAATTAAAACTCACATAATTCAAACACTCATTAATAAGCCCTCTTACCATAGGTATTGATTTATTTCTACACCTTTTACCGGTAATTGATTAAATTGATAATTATTTGGAAGTGGTCAAAATTCAGAACTGGCCAAACAACTGTAACTGTATGCACAAAAGTAGTTTTAAACAGGTCATATGAATGGCAAAGATGGCTTTAAAAACTGTATTTCGAGTCTTAAATTTAGTTCTAATATGCACTTTAATGTTTATTTCATTACTTTTATTAGTGCCAATAGAAAAAAAATACCTCGTTCAGACTCTATTAACTCTACAAATTCTTCCATATTTGATTCTATCTCCTTTGACAAAAAATGAAGGCCTTCTCCAGAGTGCCCTCCTGAAAGCATTTCCATATCCTCCAAAATGTAATCCTTCATTAACTGAAAAGAAAGCAAAATAAAGTCCGATTGCTGTCATAAGACACTGATTATACCAACACAAGTCATGTAACCATCCATCTTCATTTTTGGTTAAAGCTGAACATGATTTGTAAAAGAAATTTATCCACCATATTTGATTGGTCTCTTGCTATATCTGAGGCCCCTAATAAAGCCAATCACTTAGTCACTGTTCTGTGTAATCAATTGTCACTGGTGTAGACGGACGTATGCTAGGAAGCACGCCGTATGGACAAAAAATGACTACTTCTTCTAACGCAGGAGAGTAAGATACCAAACAAGAGGCCCATGGACCACATTCCTCACCTGAGCACATCAGCTAAGAATAAAGTTTCCCACCACAGCATGATATGCCCTTCAAATATTGTTCAATTATCATAAACAGTTTACAGTGCAAGAAAATCATGTCAACCTTTAAAAGGATTTCCATTTTTCCATTCCTTATATTATTTGTTTAAACATCTCCTGTGGTGTATGCATTGATTATAACAAATAATCATCAAATGGTTAAATTATAGCTTGACATGCAATGTTCTGTTATCAAAATTCTCCTTGACCAGTGCTTGATAATTATACCAATGGGTGTAAAGTATAATGAAAAAAAATAGTATTTTCTTAATTTAACATTTCTTAATAAGGATACTGCAACACTCTCACATTTTTTGGGATTGTGTAATTCAATAGTAAAAGACAGTTTTTTTAAAATTTCACTTAAAGGTCACAGTGACCTTGATATAGGTCTCGACACACCTTCTACCAAAGATGCATAAATTTGCCAAGTTTGATAATTGTAAGTCTAATAGTTTGTTAGTTATGAGGTGGACAGGATTTTCCCATATTTGACCATAACTTCCTAATTAAAGGTCAGAGCGACCTACTTTTTGTGCACGACACACCTTTTACACGAGGTATCAGCTGACAAAGTTTGATAATCCTAGGCCTAATAGTATTAAAGTTAAGAGCTGGACACTAGAAAAGCTAACAGACGGATGGACATGAACGCCATAACATAATACATCCCGTCTAATAATAAAGTGCCACGCCACAGCATGATATGCCCGTCAAAAAATTACACAATTATCTTAAACAGTTGAGTGCAAGAAAATAATATGTCAATAATATCAACCTTGATTCTAAGATTTCCATGATTTTTCCATTCCTTCACATATTTGTTTATCTATCCCCTGTGGTGTAGGCATTAATTATAACAAATATTACATCATTGATAGATTTCTATACTGGTTGTGTTAGACCTTGTCAAATGCTCATCATATTAAACAATAATTAGTCTTAACAACTTCATCTATACCAAATTAATTTTGAAAACTAGAAATATGTCCATAGGACATGAATGCCCCGCCGAGGGTATATTAGTAAAGCAACATGAAAATTTGATCAGAATATCTTGAAAAGTGATGCAGTGGAATTGCTTATATCAGTATGTATCAGCATATGAAGTTTGACACTAAAGTGAGGTCAAGGTCAAATAAAAGGTCAAGGTAAAAAATATTGATGCAGTTGAATTGCTTACATCAGTATGTATCACCATATGAAGTTTGACACTAATTTAGGAAAAGCGACGTCAAGGTCAAAGGATAGGCCAAGGTAAAAAAATGCTGATGATGTTGAAAAGCTCTCATCATTATGTATCAGTATATAAAGTTGAAAAAAAAAATTATGAATTGTTTCTTTAAAACTCACATAAACACAATTTGATAAAAGTGAGGTCAAGGTCACATGAAAGGCCAAGGTCAAAAATGTTGATGCAGTTGAATAGCTTTCATCACTACATGAAATTTGATAAAATATCTTGGATGGTTTCTTTAAAATGATCTAAACACTAATATAATAATCTAGTATGTATCAGTATATGAAGTTTGTTAAAAAATTCTTGGATGGTTTCTTTAAAACTGAGCTTTAAACAACAATTAAAGAAAAGTGTGGTCAAAGTCAAAGGAAAGGTCAAGGTAAAATATATTGATGCAGTGGAATAGCTCTCATCAGTATGTATCAGCTTATGAAGTTTGATAACAGTATCTTGAATGGTATCTTTAAAACTGAGCTAAACACTCATTTAAAAAAGTGATGTCAAGGTCAAAGGAAAGTCAAGATCAAAAACGGTTGATGCAGTTGCATTAGTTCTAATCAATATCTATCAACCTATGAAGTTTGATGAAAATATCTAGGATAATTTTTTTGAAACTGAGCTTTGAACTGAGGTAAACGCAAAGTGTGACGAAAGGACAGGACAGAAGGACAGGACGGAAGGGCAGAAGATGGACATGACAAACACTATATGCCCCGACCATATTCATGGCGGGCATAATAAAAGGCTGGCCATCAAATGACATATGCTATAAATGACCAAGAGTTCTTCTGTCTAATTCCCAAAGGATACAGATAAGACTCCTTGATCAGAGATGCTCTGAAGAAATGACTGAGACAGCTAGCCTTCCTACATTGAACTCATTAATTTAAATCTTTGACTGGATGCTTGTCTACTCATAACTCTCAAGAAATGAATTGATCTACACTATCTACCATAAAACATTTTTAAAACATATAAAATACTCAAAGATTTTTTTTTAGATTTACTGTCAGACAGGTTTTAATATGTAATTCATATGGACTAATGGACATGCTGATTCCACCCCCAAACCAATAAATTTAGTTTTTAAATTAGTAATATTATATAATATCAGATTAGTTTATTATCAAATTAGTTTTAATTACTTTTCATCAAATTCATTTTAAAACTTAGGCTAGCTATTTAAATTAATCCAACAGGCTGACCCATTTGCCAATTTCCAAGGGATATAGGTAACACCTGCTTGATCAGAGATACTCTATCAGTTAGCTCCTCACATTAAAATCATTAATTTCTTTCTAATTTGACATGCAATTTTTAATAAGGAAAGTGCAATACTTTTACATTTTTTGGGATGTTTTAATGAATAGTATAGGCCATAATAAATAAATTGCTAGATTCTCATCTGAATTTTTTTAAAAATCGAGGCGGGCGGGCGGCTTTTATTTTATATTTCTTATTTTTTCAATTTTGCAGATTTTTTATTGACCTGGTCAATCGGTGTAATTATCTACAATACCCAAATAAAAGTCATAGTAAAGGTTCAGTTATCTCTTACTTCACATCATCTCCAATATTTTTCAACCAATGACCCTTGTTTAAAATATATACGCATGTATTACAGCAATTACCATCTTTTCAGCTGTCAAAATCATGTCAACATTCGCGGGATTTAAAACGAAAGTAGAATGGTAGATGAATACCAATCCCGATCAGAATTAACACGAATAAAAACAGAAATTAAAAAAATCGCGGCGGGGGTATAAAATCGGGGCGGGCGGGGATGAGAATCTAGGAAGATTTTTATTATGGCTTTAAAGACACTTTTAAAAAAAAATTTCACTCAAAGGTCACAGTGACCTTGAAATAGGTCATGACAGACCTTCTTCCTAAGATGCATAAACTGGCCAAGTTTGATGATTCTTCTAAGTCTCATAGTTTTCTTGTTATGGGCTGGAAAGGATTTTTCCATATTTGGCTATAACTTCTTAATTAAAGGTCAGAGCGACCTACTTTTTGTACACGAAACATGTTCTACCCAAGATGTATCAGCTGACAAAGTTTGATAACTCTATACCTCATAGTTATTAAAGTCATGTGCTGGACACTAGGAAAGCGAACAGACGGCCAGACAGACAGACAGACATGATGCCTGTAACATAATACGTCCCGTCTTAAGAAGGGCGTATAAAAACAATCATATAAAAAGCACAATTCAGTTCAGCATTGAAAAGTTTACGGTTGTGGGTGTGACTAATAATCAATTTATGTATAAAAATCATAATTTTGCTGTTCTTGAAAAAAAGATTTTTACAGATTTCTTTTCTAAAGATTGTCTTCCTACATATTACTTTGTAAAAAGTTGATCCCCCTTGTGACTCCTCCTTATCCTAGGAGGTCATGATTTGAATAAATTTAAATCTTCAATACATGAGGATGCTTACATGTCAATATAACTAAACAAAACTTTTCTGTCCTGGAGAGTGGGTTTGAATCCCACTGTGGGATGTAGAGACCAGTCCTTCAGATGAGACCCTATAAACCGAGGTCCCCCGTGTCCAGTAGGTGCTAGCATGAAAAGGATCCCTCCCTGCTCATTGGCCTTGAAGGCTGAGTACAGGAAAAAATTTGCAGCTCTCCACCAGCAAGTGGTGGTGTCTCCATATGAGTGAAAAATTCACAAGAAGGATGTTAAACAACAATATACAATCAATCAATCAACTGTCCTTGAGAAAAAGATTTTTTCCTCTATTTTCCTATGTAAAACTTGGTGATCCACCATTGTGGCCCCACCCTAAACGTGGGGGTTATGATTTGAACAAATTTAAATCTAGATGACCTTAGGATGCTTCCAGATAAATATCACTAATAATGGCTTTGCTATTCTTTAAAAAGTTATTTTGAGAGATTTTTTCTATATATTTCTATGTAAAACTTTGATCCCCCTTAATGGCCCCACCCTACCTCAAGAGTCATGTTTGAATAAACTTTAATCTACACTACCCAAGGATGCTTCCATATAAATATAACTAATTATGGCTTTGCTATTCTTGAAAACAAGATTTTAAAAAAAAATCTATATATTTCTGTGTAAAATTTTGATCCCACATTGTGGCCCTACCCTACCCCCAGGGGATATGATATGAATAATCTTGAATCTACCCCAACTAAGGATGCTTCCATATAAATAAGGCCATTCATTGCTTTGCAATTCTTGAGAAAAAAAAATTGCTATATATCTACCTATGCAAAACTTTGATTGTCCATTGTGGCCCCATCCTACTCTATGTTGATGTAAAAAATTGACCTTGACCTTATAATAATTATATCAAGGTAAAAGATTTTGATCCCATGCACCCCTTGTACCTGCAAACTCTGCATGTTCCAAGTTTGA